TGCATGTGTGCACACAATTACGTGCTAGGTAGGAAAACCATGCTCTGCTAACGACCTTTGCTATTATTTTTTGAGAGGAAAGGGTGCAGTGGGTATTCATGGGCATGATCACAGCTCACTGCAGCCCCAAACTCCTAGGCTCAAGCGTTTCTCCTACCTCAGCATCTTTTCATGACAGTATCCCCTTCTTTGGGGGAAATGTTTCTCTCTCTGCTCTGATGCCTTAGGTCTAATGGGCATGGCCCCTCACATACACACAAGGATGGGCAGTAATGCAATCCAGGACACAAGAATCCTTCCTTGCATTTTTCTAATCCAAGGGAGAAAAAGCACAACCCCTGGAGAGGCAAGACTGTAGACAGGTGTGTGTCTGGAGCCATCAGCAGCTTGGGAGCAGCTGCTCCACAGTGGCAGGGAGTGAGGCGGCACGCGGAGGCGCAGCTTGGAAGAGGAGGGCCACCTGGGGACATTCTAGCTGCTTTCGTGATCTGTGTACTCTCCTGCCCTTCCCTTTCTGCTTTTTGCCTTTGCTTTGTGGGTTTTGCCTTTTAAGTTTCGATGTTAATACTTGAAACTAAGGAGATGTAATATTAATATACCAACCAAAGGCACAAAGCACAGAGTTGCATACTGAAGGTTTTTGTTACTTCCATAGTTATATGAAATTCCCACAGAATTGTTAAGCTTTAAGTATCCATAAATAATTACAGCTAAAGCTTTAGAAGACATTTACAAATAAAAAAACATTAGCATCATTTTCCATATTCATCTGAATAGAAGGCGACTTAAAATAGTAGAACAGTGCAGAGGAGTAGAACACAATTCACATTCTGAACCTTGGGGAAAAAGAGGTCTAGACGCAGGCAGGCCTGGGAGGAAATTAGACAGTGGAGGGTCTCACTCTGTTGTAAGCCTATGTTTTAAAGCTTTGAAAAGATTTATTCTTGTTTGTTTTTAAATGTAATTATGTAGATGCTTTTAAAAGAAAGTAAATTTCAAGAAACGATTTAGCCTAAGGCAAAGACAAGATTTCTTTTCAGTTATAAAATATCAATTTAGAGAGAGTAAAAGATTAGGGGGGGCAAATCCCTAGAGTAGTACCTCTCAGGTACATAATTTATGGTGTGATAAATTATGTGATAGCATCTCTGCCATTTAAAAGGTCTGCTGTAGAAAGTAAAGCTTGCATTCAGATCATCTTTTATTCGGACCAACACAGCATTACTTTTGACCACTGTGATTATCACTACTTTTATATGCACTGCCTATTAAAAAGGTAGAAACTAGAGCACTCAAATTTTTCCTGCATTTTTATCACTGGGTATGTTCTTGTCTCATTCAGTGATTTATGTCTTAGGATGAGTTCTAAAAGAAACCTCTTATTCTGGAGAGCAGCTGTTCTCTCTCCATGAGGATTCCTGTCTGGGCCTAGTAAGGTTCTGTGGCTGGCAGGGTGTGCTGGGTTCCTGGCTTACATTTGACTCTGGCCACACAGGTCTGTCCACATTCAGAGGAGGGAGGAAAAGCTGAGGAGTCCTTAAGGATGCAAGTAGAATGCTATCTGGAAATTTACACTATTTGGTTACTGGGGCCATGAAAAGTCAAGTCTATGAATTAGATAATTAGTATCCACAAGGTATATCACAATTTCATACTGAATATAAATGAAATCTAAAATCCTGGGGACTGTATTGGTAGGGTAGAAGCATTTGGTTTCTGTGTAGCCTCTACTCAAGTTTTTTTTTTTTTTGAGACGGAGTTTCGCCTTTGTTGTCCAGGCTGGAGTGCATTGGCGCGATCTCGGCTCACTGCAACCTCCGCCTCCTGGGTTCAGGCAATTCTCCTGCCTCAGCCTCCTGAGTAGCTGGGATTACAGGCATGTGCCACCATGCCCAGCTGATTTTTTTTTGTATTTTTAGTAGAGACGGGGTTTCACCATGTTGACCAGGATGGTCTCGATCTCTTGACCTCGTGATCCACCCGCCTCGGCCTCCCAAAGTGCTGGGATTACAGGAGTGAGCCACCGCGCCCGGCCCGTAATTGTGCTTCTTGATCAGTCAGAGTTCAGCCTTCTTTTCTGGTCTGCGCTTTGGCTGCCTTTGGTCTGCTGGTCAGGCCTTGGATGGTTTACGATAACTACTTCTAGGGTGGGCTAATTCCATCCAGAAAGAGGTGCTGGCTGAAATGCTGACTTTAAGACGAAATCTTTTTTTTTTTTTTTTTTTGAGATGGAGTCTCTCTCTGTCACCCAGGCTGGAGGGCAGTGGTGCGATCTTGGCTCACTACAACCTCCGCCTCCCAGGTTCAAGTGATTCTCCTGCCTCAGACTCCTGAGTAACTGGGACTACAGGTGTGTGCCACCATGCTCGGCTAATTTTTTAAAAAATATTTTTAATAGAGACGATGTTTCACCATGTTAGCCAGGATAGTCACTATCTCCTGACCTCGTGATCTGCCTGCCTCGGCCTCCCAAAGTGCTGGGATTACAAGTGTGAGCCATCACGCCCAACCAAGATGAAATCTTAATCCAGGCTATAGATTATCTGAAGCAGCTTTCAAAAATGACAGATATCATTTTGTGACTGGCAATCACAGCTGGCCACTTACAAGTATGCCTGGGGGTATAACACAGCAAGCCTAAAGGTTAGTCCTCTACAGAGGTGGCTCTGATTATTACTGCTCCCTTTAGTTTTCTCAAGCAATAAAACATTGTCCAGAAAGCCGTACTCCTTCTAACAGCCTCTGGCAGCTATATTCAGCCGTGGTCACTGAATGCAGCACATATGACACATGGTACCCCTTGTCACCAGGCACCTAAGTGTACACCCTCATGTACTCAGGTAACTTAGGTGACAGAACTAGTAAATGATGAGAAGATTTCAGATGGGAAATGCTACTGAATGAGATGGTATTCTTATAATTCTTATACATGAAAACTATGACCTGAATTCTTTGAATAATCTACCTTATTTGCCTGGTTTTGAAATGGAAATATCTTTGATTTAGAGTCTGGGTTTGAATTCTATGAGTGTTTAACATAAAGAACTCAAGTCCAAGGACATCAAGGGTTATCATAATATCTAGGTAGGTGGGACAGGCTTAATTGCTTTGTATTCGTCCATAAAAATTCCTTTCCTGCTTGAGAGGGCAGTACTGGTAAATCACTCTGTCTCTTCCTCACTTGTTCTCACATTCCAGCTTCCTAAGTCATAAAAATAATACATTAAATCCTCACATAAACCCCAAAAGGTAGATATTATTTTTGTCCCCATTTTAGAAAAAAAACTGAAGACAAGGCTGGGTGCAATGGCTCTCGTCTGTAATCCCAGCACTTTAGGAGGCCAAGGTGGTTGGATCACTTGTGATCAGGAGTTTGAGACCAGTCTGGCCAACATGGTGAAGCCCCACCTCTATTAAAAAAAAAAAATACAAAAATTAGACAGGTGTGGTGGCAGGTGCCTGTACTTCCAGCTACTCGGGAGGCTGAGGCAGAAGAATCACTTGAACCTGGGAGGCGGAGGTTGCAGTGAGCTGAGACTGGGCCACTGAGGTTGCAGTGAGCTGAGACTGGGCCACTGCACTCCAGCCTGGGCGACAGAGAGAGAGGCCACGTCTGAAAAAAAAAAAAAAAAAGGACAACAAGAACATTTCAAGGTCAGCAAAGAACCAGGATTCAAACTCAGACAGAGTCTGGCCAAGAGTCCATGCTCTGGTGCCCTACACCACTCAGCTCTGCCCAGAAACAGTGGCACGACTGTCTCGCTGCTGGAAGTGCCCTAACAAGGCTGAAGGTAAGCACTCTTACCTGGACAGGTCCTGAGTCTCCATGCGGGTAATGTATTTTCAAGCCACTCTGGTTTATTAAGTCCCTAACTTCTCTCTTCAGGTAATTCTACACTTTACTCGTTAGGTTCCTTGTCAGGCTATTGCCCTAACTTGCTTGATGATAAGAATCAGCTGGAATAAAAATGTAGCTTCTCATGATCCTATCTTTAGAAATTCCAATTCACTGGGTCTGATGTTGTCCCAGAAATCTGTTTTTAACAAGGGACCCAGATGATTCTTCTCATCAGTCAACTCTGAGAAACAATGCCCTAGGAGTTCTAGCCAATAGGAACAAACATCATGGGTCTTAAGCACTATATATTAAGTCAAAACTTCTATAGTGTTTCTATAGCTAAATTAATCCAAAGCAATCGGTACATATGGCACAAAGTGTTTTTTTTCCAGGAAGGACAAGGGGGTGGGCTGGAATGTCTTTGTGGTTTTCTTGTTTTTGAGTGATGACTGTTAGAAAGAATTCCTTAATGGCCGTGCCCTTGAGGGAGTTTTTGCATTGCTCTGGTCATGGAACAGCTTATACCAAATAGAAAGCCATTTTATATAGCTCTTTTAAGTCCTGCCTGAGAGAATTTGGGAGAAGAGCAAATTAAATAAAGAGGAGAAAGAAGTACACAGTGCTCATTCCTTGAAGGACCCTAAAGCAAACTCCTTGCATAACTGAAAGAGACAACTCAGGCTTTTCAACTTAAATATTTATAAATCGTACACAGAATGATTTAGGATTAAATTTTATAAGGGATTCATTCAATTTATATAGTCTAATCGAAGAGCAAAAATGATCTTTGACACTTAAAGAATTCAAAGGCAAAAAAACAGTTGAAACTCATGACTATCAAAATATTGTTTAAGGTTAAAAAACAGATCTGAAACATGCCTAATCGCCTCTGACACTGTCATCACTTCTTGTCACAAATGAAGTTTCCACCTGAGGCACCACTGAAAGTCAAACTTCAATTGCTATATTTGTGAGTGAGTGAGGGAAAAAAAGGAAAATAAAAAGTAGAAATTAAGACTAAAAGACGGGCAAAGGAAGAGAAAGCAAACCAGTCCTTTCTGCCCTGTGGAACAATGTGCTTCTCAGGCCTCATTTCTGACGAATGCATTGCAAATCAGTAGCAGAGGCCAATACTGAAGTCGAAGGCACAAGACATACATACCTCTTGGTGGGAGTGGGCCCTCCAGAGGACATGTGGCTAACCACGGTGTCATTCATATTAGTCAGGGGGCGAGGAGGACTGAAAGAAAAGACATTTACCTTATTATTAATAATTACCAACTAGGGGAAACAAGGGAAACGCCGATAAGGGTGATAAGACCAAAGGGACCAACCATCATTTGCGATAAGCACAGTGGGACCCATGGGGAGTGGAGTGGAAATCGATACTCCAGGCCTAAGTAAATTCAGCAAAGGAGGTTCCCGCTCACAAAGCCACAGGACCACTGAGCTGTGGGTGCCAGAAGCAGCTGATTATAAACACACCACTACAGGGCGTAACTTCGGTGGCTTTTGCTTTGTAGTTTTAGCACATAAAAATTTAAATTCTGCCACTTAGTGAATTTCTCTACATTTTAGGTACAAGATGCCTAGGTGTCTGGCATTCATTGCATATGACAAAGGTCACAGCATCGAGGTGCATGCTGTTCCTGAGATTTGGTTATAGCTCACTGCTTTCCCTCAGACTTAGTTTGTAAACTTTTAACCAAAACAAACTGTTAAATATCTCATTCAAAAATAAGACTCTGGAAGAAACTTTTATTAATTATCTACTAGAATCTTAACAACAAATCCAAATTTCACACCTATAGTCTAATTAGAATGATGTCTTTTATAACCACTAATCCAAATTTAAACTTGAAGGTTAGCACTTTTGGTAATTTGTCTTTAGTTGCAGGTTTTCTGGACTCAGGTCTGTCCATTTCTCCTTCTTGTGAAAGTCCTAAAGGAATGAATTCAAGCTTCTCAAAAGGCGCCTAGTATCTTGCCTTCCAGCTATTCCTCAAGCCCTCTCCCTCCCTACCAGGTTCAGCTACAAAACATTTCTGTCTTTCATCAGGAACCACATGACTATTGCTAAATACTTGTGGAAAATCTCTCACTTCCTCTTTTAAACTGGAAGAAGTGCAGTCATGTGCCGCATAATGATGTTTAGGTCAATGACAAACCACATATTATTATAACAGATTATAATACTGTATTTTTGTTATACCTTTTCTATGTTTAGATACACAAATACCCTTGTATAACAGCTGCCTCTAGTATTCAGTACAGTCACATGTCTACAGGTTTGTAGCCGAGGAGGCTACATGCATGTATAGAGTATACTTACACAAACCTAGGTCGTTTTGCCTGCCTCATACCTAGGCTGTATGGTGTAGCCTAGGTATGCAGCAGGATAAACCATCTAGGTATGTGTAAGTACACTCTAAGATATTAACACAAAATTTCCTAAAAACGCATTTCTCAGAATGTATCCCCCACTGTTAAGTTATGCATGATTATACTTCTCAGATTTGTCCATCAAAAGCATAAAAGTGAAGCTGAAAGTCCTTCTCTCATATTTAGGTGCTTGGGAACTAACTACCTTCTGGTTTCTCCCTCCGTTTAAGGACAGTTAATTGTGTAAACCGTTTTTGGAGAGTTTATACTCAGTAATTCTTGGTGAATATTAAGGGATCACAGCTTTTTGTTATGCAGGTTTCACAGTACTTTCAAATAAAAGCTCAAGGGGAAATATTTCGGGGAGAGCCAAGGAACCTAGAGGTTAAAGAAGGATCTCTTCCTCTCTCCATCTATCTTTGCACTCCTTTTTTTTCTTCTTAAATCAATTGCATTTCTATGTAGGGATTTTTAAAAATGACTTTTTTCATTTAAAGGAGAGGATCCGAGATGGAAAGTAATTTGCAGAGAACAGATTTAGGGCTCTTGATTTTTAAGCCATAGTACTATGCTTATGGTTCTACATTCCTCTCTTTGTGTGACACGTCTCTAAGAAAGACATTTAGAATTGAAATACGCCTCTCTGGGCTAGAAGACAATTCCAAGTTATTTATCTGACTACCTGTCTTCAGATAGATATCCAATGGTGCCCCAAACTTCCAAGCCTATTAATGCTAGTGGCTGTGCTGAGTTATAATCAATTAATCAATTGTTTTAGGTTGATTAATGATGGAAGTGAACACAGAGATTAGCTTACATTCAGTCTTAAATTCATATTTTTGCAGGTTCTTTTATGTCAATTGTCCAACTGAAACAAAGAGACGATCCCTATGAACGAATCAAATCCAGTACAACAGCTTTCTGGTCCTGGAAACAGAATGGGCTTTTCTTCTTTAATGTAATATTATTAGCAGTCTATTTCCAAAAGAAGATAAAGACATTTCATGTTGCTTACAGAATACAGTTACTTGCTATATATATATTTTTAAATTTTAACAAATAATAGAGACAAAGTCTCACTATGTTGCCCAGGCTGATCTTGAAATTCTGAGTTCAAGTGAGCCTCCCGGCTCAACCTCCCAAAGTGCTAGGATTATAGGTGTGAGCCACCATGCCCAGCCACCTGCTATATTTCAATATTAAAGATATAACTGCATTCAATTTCCCTTCTGGTATTTTCAGAGAAAAAATGAGAATAAAAAATTCTAATTCCTAGAACATAAATCCATGCAATAAAATTTCATGATTTGTTACAACTTGTTTGGTCTGATACCACAAACATCTTTTATCATCATCAATATCTCTCGGTATATATCATGTTCAGCAATTATAGCACAAATATCAAAGCCTCTTCTCTAATATTCAAAACCAGACAGTAATGGTTATATCATAAACTATAAAGGAATCATAACTGACCCCCAAATGTCATAGTCTTTCTGAACTCCTAACATGTTTCCTAGAGAGACAGGTATATATGTCTGCAGTTTAAAATGAAAGAAGCACTTGCAAACTTAAAGGTCTTGACCACAACTCACCATGAAAGCCAACAGCTCGGATGTATTCTTAAAAAGTGCAACATGGCCTTGGGAATATAGTGAGACATTGTCTCCCCAAACTTTTAAAAAAAATTTAGCCTGCTGGCTGGGTGCAGTGGCTTAAATCTGTAAAACCAGCACTTTGGGAGGCCAAGGCAGGTGGATGGCTTGAGCCCGGGAGTTCGAGACGAGCCTGGCTATCATAGTGAAACTCCACCTCTACAAAAAAATACAAAAATTAGCTTGGCATGGTTGTGCACACCCATAGTCCCAGCTACTCAGGAGGCTGAGGTGGGAGGATCACCTGAGCCCAGGGAAGTCAAGGCTGCAGTAAACTGAGATTGTGCCACTGCACTCCGGGCTGGGTGACAGAGTGAGATCCTGTCTCAAAAAAATAAAAAATAAAAATCAGTCTGGCATGGTGGCATGTGCTGCAGTCCTAGCTACTCAGGAAGCAGAGGTGGGAGGACCCTTTGAGCCTGGGAGGTGAAGGCTGCAGTGAACTGTGATCACACCACTGCACTCCAGCTTTGGGCAACAGAGCAAGACCCTATCTCAAAAAAAAAAAAAAAAAAAAAAAAAAGAACAAACTACTAAAAATGACTTCTGGTTCAAACAAACATACAAAACCTTCATGGTTCTTGAAAGACATAACTGAAAAGAGTATTTCCAGGTGTAGAGCAGACATTAATGCTACAAATTATAGAAACTTAAAAAAACAGAATTGGCACAACTTAATGAGACTGGTTTTGTTGATTTTTAACATTTAAAACTAGCTGAATACCTTGAGCATGTCACCAGATGTTCTGTATTTACCTTTGGTACAGATCTCAGCAAGGTATAGGCACTAATGAGTTTCATGATACCAAAATGGCCACCATCCACCACTTGGTCCAGAAATTTGGGAGGTTCCTTCTTTGTTAACAAGACATACCATTTTTTTTTTGATGGGACAGAAGATGATGATGATATAGGTAGAAGGTATTTGCTAGTTAGTAGAGGTGGTTTTTAAAATACTTGGCAAGAATCTGGTACTTCTTTTTTGTTTGTTTGTTTTGAGATGAAGTCTCAGTCACCAGGCTGGAATGCAGTGGCGTGATCTTGGCTCTTGGCTCACTGCAACCTCTGCCTCCTGGGTTCAAGCAATTCTGCTTCCTCAGCCTCCCAAGTAGCTGGGACTACAGGTGTGTGCCACCACGCCTGGCTAATTTTTCTATTTTTAGTAGAGACGAGGTTTCATAACATTGGCCAGGATGGTCTCGATCTCTTGACCTTGTGATCTGCCCACCTCAGCCTCCCAAAGTGCTGGGATTACAGGCGTGACCCACCGCACCCAGCCAAGAATTTGGTACTTCTTAATCAAAGGGAAAGAGTCACTGTTACTGGGTACCTACTGATAAAAGTAAGACTATCTTTATTTCAATGACCTAACTGTATATAGATGGAGACAAATATGCAAACAAATCATCACAATGCCAGGTAATGAGTGCAGCAATGAAGTAAGGTTGGCCCTCCATGTCTGTGGGTTCAACCAACTGCAGATGAAAACTATTCAGAAAAAAAAGTTCCACAAAGTTCCAAAAAGCAAAACTTGAATTCACCATGTGCTGAGTACTACACTGAATCCTTGTGAAGAAGTGATGTGTGGGCATTGTATTAGGTATTACAAGTACTCTAGAGATGACCTGATGTGTATGGGAAGATGCACATAGGTTATATGCGAATATTATGCCGTTTTATTTCAGGGACTTGAGCATCCTTGGGTTTCCATATCTGTGGGGGCTCCTGGCACCAACCTCCATGGATACTGAGGGACGACTGATAGGCCAAGTGCTGAGAGTCACAGACAAAGATCAGGTACTTCTGCCTGGAGGAGCGAGTGTCAAGAATAGTCAAGGAAGGCCTCAGAGAGGAGGCACTATTGAGAAGAGTTTTCCAGATACTGAAAAGGCATTAAGGGAACCCTAGATAGAAATGGTATGTAAAATGGCATAAAAATCCAAAAATACATGTCAAATCAGGTTTAACGTATTTATTTGACTCAAAGACACCTGAAAGGGAGGAGCTGGAAACACATCTGGAAAGGTAGAGGACAGCCAGGATGTGAAAGCAGCTTGTCCTATCACAAGGTAAGAGATGTGAACTTTACATTGCAAAGGGGAAGCACCGAATATTAGACAAAAACCAATGTGACTATCACATCATTTTAAAAACTCACTCCGGAATCTTGCAGACGTTGGTCTTTTATCAGGAGTGTGCAGGG